TGGCCCAGTGCCGTTCATCACAGGATCCACGCTGCCCCAGTGCAGTCATTGCTCCAGTCCCCAATGCTGCTGCAGTGTGCCTCCCCAGGCAGTGGGKGAGCACCAGTTGGGCAGTAATTGCTGTGGAATTAACCTCTGACATTCTTCTAAAAATAGGCCAAATAAATCCAATCATTAGCAGCTCCGCCTGCGCTGCCTCAMGGGTAAACAGTGCAGATTAAAGCGTTTGCAGTTACAGGTCCCTGCTGTCCCCTGGCACTGAGCACARCCCTGGACATGGGACCCTCTTTGTGGGGCAGGGAGTGCTGTCAGGGCAGTGCTTTTCAGCTGCTGGAGGGAGCACCACTGCTCCCTCACTTGAACTGACCTCGGTGGTGATGGGAGAGTCAGCAATGGGCAGAGGAGAGCGGTGCTGTGGATGGGGTGTCTTGGTTTGAAAAAGCCACAGCATGGGGTCATCTGAGGTCAGTGCTGGGGCTCAGACCATGCAGGGCACCGGGAGCACARGGCAGGKCTGGGCACACAACAGCATCATCCCRAAATACYGGCTCCATTTAGGGTTAGAGGCAAACAGTGATTTATGGGATGCCACAGAGCACTGCTGAGGCTGTGGCTGTACAGGGAATGGCGCTTTCTGGATGCCATGCTGCAGTTATTTAAATTGTCTTTGTCTTTTCTTTCCCAGCTGACATCATCTCCACAGTTGAGTTCAACCACACTGGAGAGTTRCTGGCGACAGGGGACAAAGGGGGCCGGGTTGTAATATTTCAACGTGAGCAGGAGGTAAGTGCCAGTGAATACAAAATACCCATTTKATCCTTTTAAGTGAAGCATCCTGCTGTTTCCTAATCCGCCTGTGTCACTCCTCAGCTCAGGGCTCTSCTGGTGTTTGTTTGGAGCTGAAAAGCAACTATTAACATCAGAAGGGCCAGATTTCCTCTTGCCAAACMCCTTCCAAACTTTGCATTTCCTCATTCTCCTGCTCCAGGTGTAACAGGGACCAAGCAGCACATCTGAGTGCCAGTRTCAGAGCTGACATCACCCCAAGAACCCCTCATACCACCAAAATTCAGGAAAGTGTAGATGGATGTAACAATTACGTTTCCCTTCCAAAACTTTGCCCAGGAATTGTTRGCAAATGCTTTGTTGGAAGCTGGAGGCTGTGCCTGTCAGAGCAGGGTGTGTTTGACCCTCAGCCCTGACTGTGGCCCTGTGCTGGCTCACCTGGCTGGAGCTGTGCCATCTGCTGCCAACTGGGACAGTGCCACCATCGCCACCATCGCCACCATTCCCACCATTCCCACCATCCCCACCATTCCCACCATCGCCACCATTGCTACCATCCCCACCATCCCCACCATCGCCATCATTCCCACCATTCCCACCATCGCCGCCATTCCCACCATTCCCACCGTTCCCACCGTTCCCACCATTCCCACCATTCCCACCATCGCCACCATTGCCACCATTCCCACCATTCCCACGATTCCCAGAGCTGTCCCTGTTCTCTGCTCTGGCCTGGCCCTGTCCTCAGCTGTGCTGAAGGGATGCATCAGACCTGGGCATGAGACATGGCACAGGCTGATGATGGTTTTAAATTTTTCTCAAAGGTCAGGCTTCAAAATTATTTCTATGTGCACTGAAGAGAGCTTAGTGGTTAATGGTTACATGTGTAGACACTTCATCAGCCGTTCCAGCACGRTTTCATTTCTCCTTTCCCCTCATTTAATTATTCTGCTGCTTTTCTTGAACTGCAAGCCTCCAGCATCACTCTGAATGAGTCCACTCAGCTCCAGCTTAGGGAACGTGTGGGGCTTCACCCACCCAAGAGATCCTTTTGTGTGTGGGAGGTTCATCCCCGCGATGGTTTAGTTGTTTTGGAGCTTGGTGACAGTGGTGTTTGCAGATATGCAGGTGCTGAGTTGGAGTCTCAGGACAGTCTCCTGTTCCTGCCTCTGTTATTCTTGCTCCCTATCCACAGGGCAAATGCTGCCCCTCTCGTACCTGTGGCTGCTGCCAGCAGCTCTTGTGGCTGGGTTCAGCCTGGCAGGAGATGGCACTTGGTGACAGCCATGCACGGGGACTGACAGCGGGGTGGGATCTGTTCCTGCCATGTTCCTTCTCCATTCCCTCTCTGTTACCATTCCTTTCCTTCTCCATTCCCTCTCTGTTTCCACTCCTTTCCATCTCCATTTCTTCTCCATTCCTGCTGTGTTCCCATTCTGTTCCTGCTCCATTCCTAGAGCCATTTCTGCTGTTTCTGCTCCATTCCTTCTCGTTTCCCCTGTTTCCAGTCCGTTCCCTCTCTATTTTTTCTCCATTCCCTCTCTGTTTTTTCTCCATTCCCTCTCTGTTTTTTCTCCATTCCCTCTCTATTTTTTCTCCATTCCCTCTCTGTTTTTTCTCCATTCCCTCTCTATTTTTTCTCCATTCCCTGTCTATTTTTTCTCCATTCCCTCTCTATTTTTTCTCCATTCCCTCTCTATTTTTTCTCCATTCCCTCTCTATTTTTTCTCCATTCCCTGAGCACACGGGGATGTGCTGTCAGGAGAGGCAGTGCCCGGGCACTCAGCCCTCCACCCCTGGGAGCCCCGAGCCCGCTGCAGCACCTTCATCTGTCCGTGTCCTCTGCAGAGCAAGAACCARCCCCACCGCAGGGGAGAGTACAATGTCTACAGCACCTTCCAGAGCCACGAGCCAGAGTTCGATTACCTGAAGAGTCTGGAGATCGAGGAGAAGATCAATAAGATCCGMTGGCTGCCCCAGCAGAACGCAGCCTATTTCCTTCTCTCCACCAATGGTACGTGGCCGTGGGACGCTCTGGGCTCCCAGCACCAGCCATGCTCTGCTCTGCTCTGCTCTGTGCTGCTGGGTTTTGGGGAAATGTTTGTTACAGACCTTCCCTGAGGGTAGCACAGCTGTCTTGGGGGAACGGGCCTTGCAGAGCTTGATCCCTGTGCACAGAGGGTATTTCATGGCAGCCCTTCCCTTCAGGGGAGACAGGGAGCCTTCTTCCCTGCTGACAACTTTTATTTTTTTATTCTCAAGATCCTGGGAATTATTTTTTTTTAAAGACAAGCTGCAGGTGTTTTGTTTCAATTTGCAGTTTTGTTTGGCTCAGCAGTTGCACATTACGTTCTGATAAATATCATGAGGATCTGGGAGTATTATTTGGGATGAATGGGACCTTAAGATGGATGTGACAATTGCTGCAGGGGAAAAGGAGGGGTCTAATTATCTTCCATAACCAACTTACTTTGTGCTATAGAATTTACTCCATTGATCATTGTAATAAAATTCAAAGATGTATTAAACTCATTTGGGGGAGAATCACTGAAATGCAATGAAGATTAATTATATACCATGATGTTCTGTTAATTGAGTTTTTAAATAGTTTTTTGATTAACAGGAATATTGCCCTTCCATTTGGATGGTGTTCCATATGCAGACAGGTTATCAAAACAATTCGTTTGGACATATTCCTGTGTTATGCTGTTTCTTTTTGTTCTTGCTGTTGCACTAACATTTTATATCGAACTCCCTGAAACAGCGAGTTAATAAAAACAAAATTAGTGGCACTGCTTTGAAGTTGCTGTGTAAGGGAGAAAATGAAGATGGATGATGGGTTTTTGTATGAAACCTGGTGGAGTGGTAATAAACTATGGGTGAAGTTCCTGCCAGGAGGGAGCAAAGAAAACACCATTATTCAGAATAACCCCACGTGTTCCTTCTGCTGAGGCCCTGTGGCACAGGGGTGGATGCTGGCAGGGACAGGGAGCTGCAGTGGGGTGGCAGTGCCTGCAGTCCTGGGCAGTGCTGGGCTCTGCACAGCTCTGATGGGAATGGCAGGATGAGTCTGGTGAGCTGGAGATGTGCTGTCGTGTCCTTTGGGGCACGTCCAGGGCCAGTGTGCCCTGCCTGTGTTTGCTCCTCTGCAGGGCTGTGCGCCAGCAGCTGGCTGTGGGGTCAGGTACATCCGTCACCACTGCCAGCACATGGCATCGGGGTCACACATCTGTCACCACTGCCAGCACATGGCACCAGGGTCACACAGATCTGTCACCACTGCCAGCACGTGGCACCAGGGTCACACAGATCTGTCACCAGTGCCAGCACGTGGCACCAGGGTCACACATCTGTCACCACTGCCAGCACATGGCACCAGGGTCACACATCTGTCACCAGTGCCAGCACATGGCACCAGGGTCACACAGATCTGTCACCAGTGCCAGCACATGGCATCGGGGTCACACAGATCTGTCACCAGTGCCAGCACGTGGCACCAGGGTCACACATCTGTCACCAGTGCCAGCACACAGCACCAGGGTCACACAGATCTGTCACCACTGCCAGCACATGGCATCGGGGTCACACAGATCTGTCACCAGTGCCAGAACATGGCACCAGGGTCACACAGATCTGTCACCAGTGCCAGCACATGGCACCAGGGTCACACAGATCTGTCACCAGTGCCAGCACATGGCACCAGGGTCACACATCCGTCACCAGTGCCAGCACATGGCATCGGGGTCACACAGATCTGTCACCAGTGCCAGCACATGGCATCGGGGTCACACAGATCTGTCACCAGTGCCAGCACATGGCACCAGGGTCACACAGATCTGTCACCAGTGCCAGCACACAGCACCAGGGTCACACAGATCTGTCACCAGTGCCAGCACACAGCACCAGGGTCACACAGATCTGTCACCAGTGCCAGCACGTGGCACCAGGGTCACACAGATCTGTCACCAGTGCCAGCACATGGCACCAGGGTCACAGATCTGTCACCAGTGCCAGCATGTGGCACCAGGGTCACACAGATCCCTCCAGGCCTTGGTGCATCCATCCTCAGGGAGCAGCCACCAAGGTGCTCTTGTCTCTCCTCCTGCAGATAAGACGGTGAAGCTATGGAAGGTCAGCGAGCGGGACAAGAGACCAGAGGGATACAACCTGAAGGAYGAGGATGGCCGCCTGCGGGACCCCTCCATGATCACCGTGCTGCGGGTGAGTGTGGGGACCACGCTGCTGAGGAGCCATTGCTTGGAGGGGCGTGGGTGAGAATTGCTGCTGGTGTCACCTGTGTGCCATGGGACCTGCAGTGTCATCCTGCCACAGTCAGCTCATGTCAGAGGGCATCCTTGTGTCAGAGCCAGTGCTGTGACTGTGCAGGGGCATGGGAGTGGTGAGGGGGCTGCCATGGGTGCCTGGGCTCTGCTGACGTGGGCAGAGGTGCTGCCAGTGCCACGCTGTGTCTCACATTTGGTACCCCAGTGCCACGCTGTGTCTCACATTTGGTACCCCAGTGCCACACTGTGTCTCACATTTGGTACCCCAGTGCCATGCTGTGTCTCACATTTGGTACCCCAGTGCTGCCCAGGGCTGTGCCCATCCCGGTGAGCAGGCAGGGCACAAATGCCCAACTTGGAGCATTCCCACACAGAGCTGCTGCTCTAGGAGCAGAAGTACTTCCTCTGAATGAGTTTTCCTCCTGGTCATGACATTAATGAGATCAGACTAGCTTGTAATTCATTAACACCCTGTCAAAATTTGTATTTTGAGTACTTAGGGGTTTTATATTTATACATATGAAATTGTTATTATGATTGTCTGTGCCTCACTTTGTGGCTCCCAGTTCCATTGGGCATGAAGCCATTGAGAACCCTGGGCAGGCAATTAATTCCTGTCTCTGTACAGGGTTGCTCCTGGTGACTGGCAGCATTTTTCTTTACAGAGCAAGAGACCATTTATTTCATGTAGATGTGTATCTGTTACATTTCAGGCAGCATTTCCGTCCTGACATGCTGTTACCTGACAGCCCATTGGAAAGGTTAGCTCAGCATTTGGCTTTTGGAGCTGGAGCCCTCACAGGCTGGGAGGGAGCTTTGCAAAGGCAGCAGTGCCAGGGGTGTTATCCCTGTCGTGCTTGAATCTCTGGGAAGGCCCTGGGATTTCTTTCTTCTGTGCAGAAAGTCTTACTGAAATATCAAAGAACTGGGCACTTGGAGTCCACTCACTGCCTTGCCATCTTGGGCCTTTATTTTATCTCAGCCCATCTCTGCTGCAGCTCAGGGCTGTGACAGAGGAGCTGCTGTTGGTGTCTGTCCCTCTGGGTCAGCACTGCTGTTCTGCTCCTGGAAGTGCCCAGCAAAGWGCACAGCTCCTGCTTTCCATGGTGCTGGGAGGTTAAACACGCTCCAAGGGCTCGGGTTAGCTTATTGATACCTGCTGTGGTCCCTGAGGACCGGAGATTGAGGAGTCTCCCACCAGCCCCATTTGCTCTAATGTTTTGATGATTTTACTTAGACAGATATTTACATAGCTGTGCCTGCTTTGGTGTAAATCTGCCTTGTAATTGTCCTGTGACGGGTGTGCTTTGGAGTAAAGCCACATCCATCCATGGTTTCATTTGCAACTACAGACAAGTGAAAAGGGCTTTTAAATGCGCCTTGCTGCAATAATTTCTCACCCATTTTGCTTAATGTTTTAAATGCACTTGATGAACATCATCCTCTGAGGAATTTCTAACCCACATAGTGCAGAAGGAATATTTAACTCCAGTGTGTGTGGTGAGGTGTTTACTGACTTTAGAAGATCTCTGCTGATTTGAATGGCCCCCAGTCCAACATCTGCAGCCCTCTGCCCTCTCGTGTAACAGCCCCAGCACACTCCTGAGTGCCACTCCTTGCCCCTGTGCCTGGGATATATGTAGGAGATAATTAACACAAAATACTAATCTTGTGGTGGCATTGGGCAGTCCCAGAATGCACCTTATGTGGATGGGAAATGAGTGCTGGGAGTGTGCCTGGAGCAGCTCAGCTGCTGGGGCAGGTGGAAAATTCACCCGGTTTATCCCTGAGCTCTTGCTCTGCTCCCTGATTTGCCAGGGACTGGATTACAGTTTCCTTCTCGGAGACTCAAGGCTGGGGTCAATCCGAGCTTCAGTTTAACTAATCCCACTTGACCAAATGCTGGCAAGGCTGTGGAGCACACGGAGCACTGGCTGTGCTGCTGTGGAGCAGAACTGCCACGGTTCAGCTGGCACCAGAGAGGGATGTGTGCCCTGCTCTAGTGCAGGAGCAAGGAAAGGTGTCCCCATGTGCCAGGGACAGCCTGGCAGGTCAGGGTGGGTACAGCCGTGTCCATCAGGGGCTCACAGGGGGAGCTGCCAGTCCCACTAACCTGTGAGGTAACCACAGAGCTGCAGCCCTGCCAAAGTGGGGATTGGGGAGACAGTTAATGGATTATTCACTGAGATTTTGATGGCTCCTGCTCTGGTTCAGGGTAGGGTCCCAGTGTAAGTCCAGTGCAGTACATTGTGCCCAGAGGGTTTCCATGGGGATAACTGGCAGCAAAACCTTCCTCACCACTGCCTGGAAATGTGTGGGTGCTCCCAGTGCAGTCAGTCCTGTCACATTCACAGCCTTTGGGGTTTTTTGGCCTCTGCTCTGTCCTGTGAGGATTGCAGCATTGCTCTCACCCTGCGTGCAGGCGGTTATGGGATGGGTTGGGTCCCATCCCCTGCAGGGCTGGAGGGCAGCTGCACATCCCCAGCTCAAACCTGGCACCTGCGGGCTTTGGGAGGTTTGTGACTGTGCCATCCCAGAGCTGAACCTTTGATCCTTTCCCCCTATGTTGACCTGTGTTTTGCTGAGGCTGCTGCCCTGTGGCACTCCTGGGAAGGAGATGAAGCATTCCCAAGAAACAGAATCTCTGATGGCACAGCCCCATCCATCATGGCACTGTGAATGACACAGAGCGTGGGCACACAGAGAATGCAGTGACAGCGTGGCAGATGATGGGAGGGGAACCCTGATGGGCTGAGGGCAATCACTGCCACCCTGTCCCCTGTGCTGGGGTGTTGCACTCAGGGCTGGAGCTGGCACAGGATGTGCAGTAGCAGTGGTAGGAAGGGACAGGACGTGCCAGCTCCCTCCACCCTGACCACGGAGAAAAGGAGTTTCACAGCTCGAGAGAGGGGTTGGAGTCTCCTGAATGCAGGACAGGGAAAGCCTTCAGCACACACAGGGAGAGGAATCGAGTGTCAGGCCTGCTCGGAGTGAGGGGAACATCTTCTGCAGGGGGTACCTGCTGAAGGCAGGAATCAAAATTAAGATTTACCTTATTTTAAATGAAAAGTGACCGGCATTGGCCCCTTCCTGAAAGCAGGAACTAATTCAATTTATTAGTGTTTTATTTTATTTGACAGTCTTTCTGTGTACTTGATGCACTTTGTTACACTGAATTATCATTGAATAATGGGTGGGTGTGACACAGAGCCTGCCCTGAGGWGGGCTCTGGAGCTGGAGGGGRATGCACAGGGAGATCTCTGCTGTTSAGGATTGCTGTGCACTGCTGATGGAGCTGAGTGGGTTGGACAGACCCTAACCTGACCTGTCCCTGCTTCAAAGAAACAAGGCTCTGTTCCATTTGCTGTCACGTTACCCCGTTTGTTGGTGACTCCACTGTGGCTGAGGCATGGCTGGGCAGCTGCTCCCTTGGGCTGTCCAGAGCCAGGACCCCCTGTTGTGTTGGGAACAGGCTCACCATCTGCTCCCAGCAAAATCCTGACTGCTCCTGTCTCAAAGTTCCAGTGCTTTCGGGGTTAAATCCTTATTTCTGATACCCTTAAGCAGGAGCTCGCAGCATGTGGCCATGCTGTTTTCCATATTTCAGTGCAGATTCTTGCCACTGTAGCAGATAAATATCCCTGCTTTAGCAAACCAGTTATGGATAGCCAGGTCTGTCCCTCTTGTGGGGTTTTACCTGGTGATGGGCCAAGTCCCAGACATAAAAAGGTCTTCACGGGACTTAGCCCTGACCTAATGTGTGGAGAATGTTCTTGGTTAAGAGTTTGTGGCAGCTCTGTGGTTGTGTGTGAGTGCCCTGTAGGAATGAGCAGGAATTGTGCTGGGGCACCAGGAACTGCAGGCACCATGGTGTTGGATTGCCTGGACTAGGACAGGAACTGCTGGAGGCAGCCCAGGGTGTGACTGCAAACTGTGCTGGGCTGCACAGGATCATTTTGCTGAGCAGGATCCCTGCCCCAGCCCTGGCTGCGTTGTTTCCATGCCCACTGTAGCCATGGACCCTTTCTCTTTGCTCAGCCATTGTGTTCTGATGTCACACTGACAGGCAGTCCCTGTGGTCCCAGAGCAGACACGAGCTGCTGTCCCAGGTCCCAGCAGGCTGAGCAGAACCCGTCAGCACAAACGATGCATCATTGCCTGTGTCAGGTGGAATTAGCAGGCAGGCTCGTCACATTAGGCTCAGGCTCTGAGCTGGCAGCACCAGTGCTCTGTGTCACTCGAGCTGGCTGTCACTCCTGTCCCCACCTCTGCAGCCACGGGAAATGTCTTCAGGCAGCAGACAGATAACAGGAGTAATGAGGTAGCTGCAGGGAACAAGTCAGTGGCAGGCAGGAGCACGGACTGACACATTCCTGGTGTATTCAGTTCCCTTCAGAGCGCTGTGTCCAAAGTTATTGCTGACCCCACTCCTCACACCGTGGTCTCCACTGCATCCCCCAGCCCTGGCCGGGCTGTGCTGATTCCTCTGAAGGCAAACACACCCAGCTCTGTTCCTGCTCCTTCCCTCTGTCCCTGCTGTGTGTCCCTCACTCTGTCCCTTCTCATCTCTTACCTCCATCACTTCACTGAGGCAAATGCAAAAAAGTTAAAAGAAAAAATGTGCTGACCTGGCAAGAAATGTATTTGTGTTAGAAATGCTCCTGGAATTTCA